ATGGTGTGACATTTCCTCTGCTATATATTACCGATTTCTTCAATTCTTTTCAAAAACTAAAAAATTATAATTTTCGTCTATAAAGGACAATTTTACCCGAACAAACCGTCAAATCTCACTTTTCGCCTTTTTTTGGATATGCTAATTACAACTCTGTCTTCGAAAGATTCAGCAAAAACACAGTGTTACCAGGTGCACGTTAAAATCAAGAATGACTTAAAGGGACAAATAGTTGAGACTGCTTGTTAAAATAATAATTTTTTAATATATTTTAAGAACCAGAGGTTCATTTTTTCTAGTAATGTTATGAGCACGTGAAATAAATATATGCATGGCATAACAAAAATATGTTTCATTACATATACATTATGTAACAAAATGCATAATGATAGTAATCTAATTTAATTATTATAATAAAAATTATGAATTAATTAGTATATTGCTAATTAATTATATTATTACAGATAAAATTTTATTTGTTTCAATTCTAAATGTTCCAAAGCTCACAATAGTAATTAGTGTTGTAACCAATCTCATTATCTTAGAACTCAGCTACTTCCAAATTCAACTCTGCTTTAATACTGTACTGATATCAATAAACTACTTTCAAAAGATATTTAATTGGGTTTATTAAATAAATGGAAATTTTTCTTAATTTTGAATAAATTTACATTTTATTGTGCCTTAATGTATTGTTAAACAAGGTGAAACTAATATAAAAAAGAATATATTTCAGTTCTAAATTAATATGGGAATAGGGCTCACTTGTCAAAGCTACTAAGTTGTGCAACAGTGCTGATGGAACCATTCCAGTGTGGTACTACGTGTTTGACAATTTCTCATATAATTTCTCGTTGTCTCGTTGTTACGAAGAATTTATTATTGTTCATCGTAGTTATTAAATAAATCCTTATATTTTATTCCAAAGTGCTGATAATTGTACAACAATTAAGCAATAAAAATATTTTAAGCGTTTGTGCTTGGGCGAATTGGTATTATTGAGGCTTATTTTGCGTGTAGCTTGGTTGTCTGAAGGCTAGAAATATGGCTAAGCTGACGGATGTATACCGTGCTGAGGATGTGATCGACGTTGGTTACAGACAAATCCCAGTAGTTACAGGCTCGGCCGATGATTCCTCCTTAATGGTGAGTTATGTCGTTTTGTCAACATTGATAAATTGCACTACATACAATCACAAATATTTGTTGAAAAGTAGATTTGGGTTTTAATTAGAGGTAGATATTTAGCTAAATACATTTTTTTGAATACTTCCCCAAAGGAAAACATCGACTACATTTGTATAATGTATGTAGTTTACATGACCATGTAGCAAGAGCTGTGGAGAAAGTGTATGTATAGTAAAAGTGTGTACACACATTAACCAGCTGATTGCTAACCATTGAACCTGTTGATACATCCGAAGTTGATTAGTGATAAATTGAAAAATGTTGATTGACAGGGTGTATTTTGGAATTATAACTTTTAAGAATTTTATTTAATTCAAACTCTTACCATCCGCATTAACTTCATAACAGCTATATGTATCTCCAAATTATGGAAAAATTTGGATTCTTTAGTGCGATAGCTACCATTCTTTGATTTTTATATACATACACACCCATATGTAAGTAGGTTTGAACGAGCGGTAGTTGGACTAAAAACAGGTTCAACGCCAAATATATATACATACACATGTATTTTATCAACATCTCGATGCAGTCGTACTGCTAACACCACGACAGGGGATTGATTGGTTTAGTGTGCATAACTTGCTTAATGAATGGCAGCTTTGGACGCATTCCACACTCACCCCCCGTAGAGTTTTCGAGATATTTGATGTATATATACATATGTATAGTTTCTCTTTTATTGCTATTACAATTATAATTATGATAATATAAATGTGTATTATAACATCAAATGCAATGCATCTTCATATTTGATTTATGGTAGAATAAGTGCCAAATTTCTAACCTAATTCACAAAAAGGCGTGCATAAGCATAACTGTTTATTTATCTTTTTTAATGTGTTCTGCTCTTATCGATACATACATATATAAGCTTAGATGAGATACGAAAAGAGCTCCACATATTTGCTATTTGTGAATTTAGGTCGGTAGGTGCATCCTAAACTACAAACCTATAAATTCAAATTAATTAAAAGATTTTTTCCCATCTTATTGACCCATATTTACCTATGGTATATTCATCTTAATTATTCAACATTAACTGTACTATAAATTTTTAGTTATCTACAAGTAAATATAACAAGCTTCAATCAAACAATAATAACTTATTATATATTATAACATATATAATTCCGTCAATGTTTTTAGATGTTAATGGATTTGAGTAACAAAGGCCTCTGCATAGATAGTCCGCAAATTCGTGGGAGAGAGCTTGAAATATTCACGCGAAAGTTTAAACTTTTATCAGCTGATGAACTAAAATTGTCGCTTGAAATAGATAGTGTCACATTCGTGTCCTTATTAAATCAATGTGTGCCATGTGTGGGTTGTCGGCGTCGCGTTGAACGTTTATTCTATCAACTAACGCTTTCAGGATATCCCACTCTAGATCCATTGATACTAAGGGATACGTGCGTTCTTACAGTGCGTGAAGAACTTATGTGGTCACCGCAAGCTTTAGGGACATTGCTCTATCGGCATCATGAGGTACTTAGTGATTTACTGGATAATAAATTGCGGAATAAAACTCGTTGCGCCCTACATTCATTGGATGCTTTTCGCACCAGACCTTTTTCGGAAGTTTGGCGGGAAATGTGGTTTTCAATGAAGTATAATTGTCGAGACAGATTGTCTACCATCGAAACCACGGAACTACACGAAGTACTCGAGAACTATTTGAAAAAACACAAATTCTGTCAGGGATGTCGTAATAAGGTATGTAACAAGATTTTAAATTTGAATTTATTATTTATTGTTTTTTTGCATTCTTTATATAACTTTTAATATTTTATTCTTGATTGTACAGATCGAAAAGGCATACCAAATACTCGTAAACGAAACGACTTGTAAAGAAGGATTCGACGCGGCTTTGTATGCGAATATTAGGAAACCCCAATCCGAGAAGCACATTAAGATTATTACGAAAAAAGTTGATTTCCTCGACGCTCTTATAAGGCGCGCCGAACCTGAAGTTAATGGCAGGTAAATTAAGATTAAAACTTTTCAAAATTGCGAATTCTCACTTAAAATAAAGATATGCAAACACAATGGTTACACTATACATAAGATCATCAGTGTATTGCCGTGAATTCATGCAAATAATACTGAAAATCCGGCAATTAATTACCATTCTTTTCATGCAGTTATTCAAAACAGCGAGAACGTCATGCGAAAACGCTTGAAATTGCTCAAGAAGAAGTGTTAACCTGCGTGGGTATGATAATGTATGAGAGGCTTCGTCGTATTTATGTTAGTCTACGCGAAGAAGAGCGGGCCTGCCAAGTGCTGGCGGCAGTTGCCGTTCATGCGTTAAGCCGCAGTTTTGACATGGCGGTGGAACGTAAACAAGGTATCAGTAATTTAGAATTGCTGTATCAGGAAATGAGTCGCGCTGAAAAAGCGAAAGAATTGAGGCGGGAACAGAAAAAACTGAAAAAGAAGTTGAAGAAAATTGAAAAGAAGGAAAAGTTATGTCGAAAATCTCTGAAATCAGCGGCTGATAATGCTGATTCTGATGCAGCGCAAGCAGATGTAGAAGAAGAAGAAGAAGACAAAGATGATGTAGACTTGGAGATGGTGGATGAGGCGGTGGATTTATCCGAGGAATTGGACGAAGAATTAAATAAATTAGTAGATATTATGGATAAATCCTTGCGCACCGAGGAAAAAGAGGAATCTACTATATCTGACAAACCTCATCTTGTAACGGCTTCGTTATCTAAGTCACCCGCTCAAAAGAAACGTAAGCAAAAGAAACCAAAAAAGCACAAACAACCTATTCAGCAATCGAATGGCAGCAAAAAGAAAGAAATATCGCAACAACAACAGCAAAGAGTGCCTACTGTAGAACAATCGCTTTCAGCAAATGGCAGTCACTTCGGCAGCTGTTGCGACATCGATGCCAATGAATCTATGGCCAAATGTGATGTTTGCTTAACTCCACAGGACCACTGTCCATGCGAGAACGACGTACGAGACTCCGGTTATGGTAGTGAGTTATTAACACCTGATAATTCGCCAATTAATAGTGTGCCCAGCACCCCTGAGGGTTCTGAAGTATCTTGCTCCGACGGTTTTTGTAACCATGAAAATGGACAGTACATGACTTTGGAAGAGGAACATGACGTCCACATGTACGATTTGGGAAATAGCTATATGTGGGGAGATAGTTCCTTAAACCAAAAATATGGTTCTTCGAACTGGCTTAGCTTGCAGCAAATGCTGGTACGTACCGTTAAAATGTACTAAATAATTTGAAAGAGATATACATATACAAATGTATAATTTTTGGAATAAATACTATCAATTAACTTTAAATACTTATATAATTCTTCAAATTAATTTATTTTTTCGAAAATCAATGAGACCACCTTACATTTCCGACAATTTAACGCCTATATTTTCTACAATTGTAGCTTTTTTCCTTTTTTATATCTAATCTGAAATGTTTTCTTATACCTACAGGATAACTTCGATGAATATGATGATGACGAAGACAACTGTTACATTCCTCAAGAAGTGGTTCTGGAGTATCAATGTCAGCGAGAAAAAGTGGAACAGCAACGCAGGGAGTTGCGCGAAACGTTAAAGGAAAATTTTGCGCGTTTATGTAACCAACATAAAAATAGCAAGAAACGGATCCTACTGCCTCGAGCAGGACCAGCTTGCATCTAATTAGCGCAATGATTAGTTACGGAACCTAAAGCAGTCCTTAATAATGCACAGTGTATTGTAACTCTTGAATGACTACGTACATGTTTTGCATTATTATTATTGTTTCTGCAAATATATATTGAAATTATTTAAACCTATATAGATATTTTAATTTTTTATTCATTCTTGGACTTAGTATCTAAAAAATCAACAGTTGCGGCACTCCTCGTGAAATGGTTCAAGTGTACGCAAATCACGCCAAGTTGGTGGCAGCCCATTCGAGACGAATTTTCCACATCTTTTACAAGCCTCCAAAAACAACTTACTGTAACTGTGTAGCCAAGTCTGAAAATTAGTTACATCGGTTAATTAGTTTTGAAATTAGTCGATTGAAGGAAATTACCATATAGCTTTTTATGGCCAAGTCGGGTAGTGTGGGCGAGAAGAAGTGCAACATTGCAATATGGGTATGCTCTTGAACTTTTCGGAAGACTTCATAACGCGATTCAGCCCATAAATCGTCTGGGTCAAGTGTTTCGTCGAATCCCTTAACTGTAACCCATTCAATAAGCACACCCTTGCACACGATCGCAGCTTTGAGCACTCGACTTATTGTAACCTGTATTACGAAATGACATTTCGAATAGATTTTTCATTCCCAGAGACTTACAGAAATTACTCACAATCACAACAACATTGGAACCAAAAGGTCGACACACTTGATAGCTTGTAAGTGGTAGGTTTATTTCGCTCAGTAACTTGTCTGTATGACTGCAAAACAGTTTTTTTCCTCAGAATTTGAATGGAGTATAATATTATTGTGCATACTTACTCCGGATCGAAATTATTACACGATGTAAATGGTATACGTACACGTTTTTGGGAACAATATACGTATGACCGTCTAAGATTGTTTTGATTCAAATTGTTAAAAGCCAAAAAACTATGGTCATGCACTTTGTCAATCCATTTGTAACTGTTCACCAGTTGCGAATATAATGCCTGCCGCTCAGGCGCTGTCTCTTGCGCAAGGTAAGTAGTTTGACCAAGGCAGTACGGTGTTTGTGGAGCTTGTAAGCCATTAATTAAACTTTCAACTTCCCTGTTCAAACATGATCAATTAAATTTAAAAATGGGAAACTTACTAGGAGACTAAATTTTGTCATTTTACCTCAGTTGAGCATTCATGTTATTAAAATTCTCCTGAAACTTTAGGAGAAACTTTGTTCGACTGTCTTCAGCCAATTCGGCGTTCGTTCCATCAGCCAATTGCTCAAAGCATTGGCGAACGCTTGAACGCAGTGATCTCACTGCGCCCAGCGTGGAATTAAGTTTCTCCATTCTTTCCAGATTTAGGCTTAATATGCACAAATTTTTTTAATTAGTTTATATTCTTACACTTTTTGTTAAACTCAATTTCTTATTAATTTGCCTGGAATGCTGTTATAAATAAATAATGCCGAGGATGTCAAATCACAAATGATGTCGGAAAAAACAGACCAACAGGGTGGCGTTGTACTCCGAAAGAAAATTTCTTTCACTAGTATTCATCTTAAAAACGATTAATTCATATTACTATATAAAAATATTATAAAAATGTAGGAAAAAACGTTATTTTACAAAAAATTCTTGTGTGACAGAATTAGTGTGTTTACAAAAGTTATAAATTGATTGTTTTTTGAAATAAATAAAATTTTATAAAAGTGGCACGATTTCGAAGTTAGCATGAACTTTCCATAAGATGTCGCTAATAGAAAGCAGAGAACGTAAATATATCATACGTTCTCTGGTAGAAACGACAGTACTTGCAAAGTTGCTGTCAATTTTTATTATTATTTCATTGCAACTTAAAGTGAAGGTACTTTCAACATATTCAAATTAGTTTTGGAACTTTTTCAAAATGGGTAATAAATCTTCATTGTTACTTCGTCCGGAGGAAATCGGTCAAATTCAAGAAGAAACGGGATGTAAGTATTAAACATACACACATAACGTGTAAAAGTCCAAGTCCTTGTAAATTATGTGTTCTTATGTTTTGTGATCATTAATATGTAGAAATAAAATATTACGGAATAAAATGTATAATTTATAGTTGCTTTTGGTCGCATTATGTATCATAGCATATGTTTATATTTGGTAGACTCTAATACTTTTGGAATTCTTCCTGCTTCACTTTCTATATCATGTGATGTAAACAAATTTGTATATAATTTACAATTTACAAAAAAAAAAAACAGGTTGACGTCACGTCGTTTTGTATAGTATTGTTCACTTACTAATACAATATTATTTTCGGCATATTTTCTTAAGAAATTTACGAGGTAATGCGAAGCAATTATAACTGATAAGTGGTGGCAATTATCATAGTTGGGTGATAAACAATACACTTTCTTAGCACTAATATCGAGAATACACAGTACATTACTCCTATATACATGAGTTAAACGGAGTTGGATCAAAAATTCCATAAATCAAGATTAGATAAAACTAATTGACCATAATAAAACAAATTATTGAAATTATACGAATTTATGTTTAAAAATTAATTAACTTATTTCAATACTTAATAATTAAAAAAATACTTTTTGTTTACAGTCACACCTAATCAAATTGAACGACTATACTCCCGCTTTACTTCACTGGATCGCGGAGATTGCGGCACGTTATCTCGTGAAGACTTCTTGCGGATTCCTGAGTTAGCAATTAACCCCCTATGTGAGCGCATCGTACATGCTTTCTTCGAAGATAGTACGGATGATCGTGTAAATTTCCGGCAATTTATGAATGTTCTGGCGCATTTCCGACCAATTAACTCCAAAAAGGAAAATGGCTTAAACAGTCGCGAAGAAAAGCTAAAGTGTAATTATAAACTAACAAACATCAATTGTTATGTAGAGAATAATTCCAATTTTATTTACTTTTAGTTGCATTCAAAATGTACGACTTGGATGATGACGGTGTTATCAGTCGAGATGAGCTATTGAGCATTCTTCACATGATGGTCGGTGCAAATATAAGCCAAGACCAGCTAATAAGTATAGCTGAACGCACTATTTTAGAAGCTGATTTATGTTGTCAAGGAAAAATTTCCTTTGAGGACTTTTGTAAAGCCCTGGAGCGCACTGACGTGGAACAGAAAATGTCAATTCGATTTCTCAATTGAATGGGTGATTCCTCAGTTGGTATTAAAACCTTGTCAGACAAGCAATTTTTGCTCCCTTTAGTGTGGAATTGTTAAGCTAAAATGTCTTACACATATATTTTTCATAAATATTGACTTTTACACATGATTTCCTATAAAATAATTAATTTCATTTGAGTGGTTCACATTTGTTAATTAGAAAAGGTTTATTAGGAAATTACCATAAAAAATATGAAGTTGGCATTTATTTCTTGTATGTACATAAAAGCAATCAATTAAAATTATATTCAGTTAAACCAATAAAATAGTATTGTTTATAATAGAGTATGTAATACATATGTCTTTTCATATTCTTGTCTGCAAATCAGATCGATATCCAGTTCGCCTATAACAGAGGCATGGCTAAATTGACTCTGCTTGTCTTGATAACTATTTATCTATATAATTTCCAAGGTCTCCACTTGTTATTGTAGCGCCAGAAACTTGATTTACCCGAAAAAATAGTTTTTGGCCCAAGTTTTTGAATTAATTTATTTTTTATTTAATTTAATATTTATTTATATATGCATACAATTCAATTTGACATTACGTTATTTTAGAGTTCTAATAACTACAATATAATCGTAATTCAATTTTGTCAATTTTATCGAAAAATGCCGGTAGAATCACTTAATTATACATAAAACGGTTCTCCAGCACCTCCACCAGAGCGTCTTAAATCTGCAGTACCATAAACTAATACGTATCCAACATTTTTCAATTCATGTTGTTGATGAAACTGCCAATTTTTTCAGATGCTCCATGAATAGTTGTAGCGATACATCATCTGTCAAAACCGGTGCTCCACCATCCTGTATGAAATAGTGTTTTAATAAACAAATATTACGTGACAATGATATTGTAAATAACAAAATTAAAAATATAGTTAAATAGAAGCTACAGGGTAAGGAAGCAAAGCAAAGAATTTTAGGAGCACATAAATAAAAGCACCATTAAGCATCGCACCACACCGCGTACCATAAAATAAATTTTCTCTATTTTTATATTTTTGGTTGTTAATAAACTAAATATGTCAATACTATAGAAAAGTATAAATACCGTAGACTGGCCAATTGGTGGCTACGTTTTTTGCAGTTTTGCAAATCATACAATCCATTGAACAATGACAATTATTTAAGAGACGCGAACGAGCAAACGCAAAAAAATAATTAAAAAAACAAAAGTTAAATAAAATATTAAAACAGCAACAAAAATTAAAGACAATGCGTATAAACTTTCGTGTAACATAAAAGAAACGCATCACAAAATTTTCCTACATATGTATATGCTTATTCAATTCAAAAGACTCACCTGTCCATACGCGTACATATTGTTATGCGTTTGGGAAGGATTTACTTTAGATAACAAGAAACGTGCTTGTGAGCCGCCATGCTCGGTGTCGATGTAACGCGGCATCGGAAAACGTGTCTGTAAAATCTCTTGAGCATCGTCTACAGGCGCTTGCAGTAGCTGTTTGAAATTCTCATACTCTGGCATATCTTGGTATTTGAGCGCACGCCATTGTGCGATGGTTTCACCGTGGTATATTAGAATTTGGAAAAATGTGTCCATTAATAAAATACGATCGGGTTGAATAGACGATGTATCGAGGAGGACTGGTTCTGGAGGACCATTAAACGAATAGCTGTAAAGAATTGGCTGTATCATAATTAGCGACTGTGTAAGGTCCTCGCGCATCAGCATGTGCCGGTAGAATGTGGTCTCGTCTGGTGAGTTGTTGAAGACTTGCAGGAATTGTGAACGGCGAAGATGGTACATGAATTGCGGGAAAAGGCTGAAATTCTGGGCCAAACGGAAACTGTTCGGATCATCCTTGCTGTACTCACCGAATTTCTGACACTACATGAAAAATAATCATAATAAGTTAACGCTAAGCATTGAGTGATTTCATATTAAAATTTACCAAGCGAATAAGTTGCCGATCGACCCAACGCAATATATCGGGACCTTCATCTGTTTCAGCGCGATAAACAACCATGCGTGCCATAATGACAGCTGCAGCTTCTTGATCAAAGCCAGCACTTATATATGGTAAATTGGTTGTTGCATCTGCCCAGCTAAATTTTAAATTACAAATCGATTTAGATATATATAAATATTTTAATATTAAACTGCAATTGTATTACTTTCTGGCCAACGTGGTTACACGTATACGGCGCTGTCCATTTGCATGCTGATATTGAGTTATAAATTGAATACAGCCACGTCCACCTTGCGGCATTGGCGCCGCATGCTGGTTAACCACCTCAAAGAAAAATGCCATTGTTGAGCTGGGATTCACTGTACACATCTTCCATTGCACCGTGTTACCCATGCCGATCTCCACATCAGACACCGACGAGTTCTTCACATTCAGCGACACACACGAACCGATGCCGCCCGAGATTTTCAGCTCGCGCGAGCACTTCACCTCCAGTGTGCCATTGAATGCCATTTTCAAATCACCGCGTGCATCACGAGCAAACACCCGTTGAAATGTTTGTTTAAAAAGCGATGAATTGAATGAATCTCCTAAAACCATATGTCCGCCTGTTGAATTACAACACTGTTTCATTTCCATTAGACCGCACTGATCAAGTGCACAAGAATAAATATCGATACAATGTCCATTGGTAGCGGCCCTTAGAGCTAACGCATCATAATGTTTGATAGCTTTTTTCATGTAGCGCGCATTATCTTTCTGTATGTCGTGATGTGAACGAATAGGATGTTTGAGTTCATCGTCAACTACTTGGCCGGGACCTTGGGAACAAGGTCCACCAACAAAGCTCATAATGCGAGCACCAGTATTTGGATAAGTACACTCAAGTAGGCCAACTGCAATAGACAGTGCAGCGCCCGTTGAACGTAAATACCGCTTGCCCTGAGGTACTGGCCAAGGGTCGCGCTGTAATTCACTCAACAAATCACCCAATGCACTGTCACATTTACTTATGGGCTGGAGGAAACGATTTGCTGGAGGCGCAGCTGCTGCAGCGGGACGTTGTTGACCAGGACCTGCCATTTGTTGGCCAGGTTGCCCAGGAGCCGCACTTGTTGATCTACCAATACCCAACATATCTTGAACTTGTTTTGCAGTAAGGTCTTTAGTGCCACGAAAGACGTAGCTCTTCGAACATCCCTCTGCTCCCAATTCATGTACCTGAATCATTTTTCCGAAGGTTATGAGGCCGACCAGAGCATTTGGAGGTAACAAGCTTAGAGACATTTGCAAAGAATCTTTTAAAGCATCCAACTCTTCTTCATCCATACAGGTATCAACAAGAAATATGAAAACCGGTGGCATGCA